ATTGATCTGCTGCCTCCTGCACGCTCCCTACTGGGGGTCAAGCCCGAAACCGGCATGTGCCCTGACGGGGAATTGAACTGTGACGCTCCACCACTGAGCCACACGGCCGGGCCATCCTCTATTTGTTTATGCTCATCTGGCAACGAGGCCCGAAAGCAGCCGGCCTACGGCCCCGCATGCAGAGCAGAACCTCTGGGAGGGTCTGTCGAGCACGCAGACAAGGCGGCCCAGTGAAAGCCACTACACACCCCACGGCATCCAGTGGGCGGCCCAGGCCCCGCCCTCCCCTGCAGGCCCTGCCCTCCCCCGCCCTCACCTGTGTAGGGCAGCAGGCAGTTGCACTTGTACCCTGCCACGTCATCGATGCAGGTGCCCTGGTTCAGACACGGGTTGGACGCACACTCGTTGATGTTGGTCTGGCAGTTGGGGCCTGAGAAGGGCACAGCGGTCAGCGTACCCGTCAGCGCGTGCTGTGCCCTGCGCTGGGCCATGGGCCTGAGCCACTGTCCCGGAGCCCCGCTCTGCCCCAGGACCCCCCCCCCCGGGCTGGAGGCACACGGGGCCAGCACCACCTCACACGTGGCTCCTGCGGGAGAGGGTAGATGGTGAGGCCCGGGGAGCCCGGCCAGAGGGCCAACCCCGTGGCATCCACAGGCCGCCGTGTGCTGGTCCTCCCACCATCGGAGACCAACGGGGCTGCACGTCAGGCCCCGGGTGAGCTCCTGGCTGAGTCGGGGCCCGGAACTCGGGCTCGAGACAAACCGGATGGACACCTGGCTCCCAGGGGCCGCAGGGCACAGCCTGGGCCTCACCCCCGAGGAGCAACTGGCAGTCAGGGCTGGTGCCCCCCATGCACGCGGGGGGCCTCGGGCCTGGTCCCAGCCTCTCGTGTCACAGGCAGGAGGCGCCCATCAAGCGAGGCCAGGGAACAAGGCAGTGACCGCAGGGCACAGGCCAGCCACTGTGGGGGCCATGCCAGCTCCAGCCGGGGCACATCCTAGTTATCGGGGAGCCTGGGGACAGAGCGGGGGCCTGGCGAGCGCCCCTGCACACGGGCCACAATCTCTCCCCGAAAGCCCGCGCGGTCTTCCTGTTTACGGCCGCAGGGCCGGTCCGAGGAAGCGTTATCTTCCTCGCGGCCGTTATCTCGCTGGCCGGCCGCTGCGATTTTCCAGGCCCTTCTTTCTTTCGGTTTCCACGGTGACCCGGGCAGGCAGGAAACTGGCCAGAGTTTCCGACAATTGTGCGAAGGGAAGCAGGAAGCGGGCGGGGGGGAGGCAGGTCA